AAATTAAAATTAATTTATAAATAAATATTTCTAAATATCATACTAATAGTTTAAGAAAAAATTGTGAACAAACAAAATTATAGGCAATTTGAATGATGGTAATAATCCAACTTTGACGTTAAACCTATACGTCCCTCTTTTTTACACTTTTTTTTAATAAAAAATTTAAAAAATCTCAAAAAAATCAAATACCCATAAAAAAAAAAGAAGAAAGGATACCAGAAGGCAATCGTAATTAACTCATACTAAAAAAAAAGATATATACAATATAATACACTATATATATGAATGAATCTCAATGAACATGCATCATTGAAATTTAAAATTTAGGTAAAAAACGATTCCCTTGGAAGAACGGTGACCTCTCTCTCATTTCAAAGGACTTAGAGTTGTGCAAGAAATGTGGCACAAAAGTCTAAAAACACAAATTGTGACCCTTGAACCCTTTGTAGATCTAGCAAGTACTCCTCCCCCAAGTTCTATAAAGCTGTTAACAACAATGCAACCAAAACATGTTAGTATTCAATTGGTAATTTCACGAGTTTTGCTATAAATTTATCTGTTGGATGGAAGGTTTCTGAAAACAACTACCAAATAACAATCCAATCATCCATTATTGCTATTTAAATGACTTGCAAGACCAATAATCACAAGGGACTTTCTCATATAGGCATCATCTGCAGCTTAAACTTGACGAAATTTGGTGATTGAATAATCCCACCATTCTCAATAATGCTTGAAACAATACATAGGAAAACAATGAAATTGTAAACAAGAAAAAACAAATTTCATGTAGCAGAAGTTAGATCTAAGCCAACTTATATTAAGATTACGAAACTCTCAAACTAAACTCAAAAAGAGGAGCTATCAACACAATCAAAGATCACGCATTGAGTGACGTCAAAACTGAGTCGATTTGAATGACGAAAAAGCGTGAAATCAAGCATTGAATAGATGGATTTAGAGAGGAACCTGCGTACTTGGTAGAAGATCCCAATGTTAGGATTGGGAATTTGGGGAAATTGGATCAATTGCCTAGGAGGGTGAGCTAGAGATTGGGTTTCACTTGGGAGTGAAGGACGTTGGGAATTAGTTTGGGTTTTTTTGTGCATTTAGATTTTTCATTTCGAGGATTTGCGAAATGCATTTGTTCTCAGTTCCCAGAAACGTTTCGAACAATTCAATCAAATGGCGTTTCGTTACCTAATGGAAAAAATGAACGAGATTTTTTTTTTTTTAGTCAAACCTCAAAATCAGATTCAGAATCTCTTAAAAAAATATTATTGAATTATTTAAATTATTATTAAATTTTTTTATTTTTGATAAAAATAAAATGATTTAGCAAATATAAAATATTATAATATTATAATTACAATAGTATGTATAA